CGTGACGGTGCAATGAGCTGTTGCTGAGAACCTAGGAAGAAACTGTGCGTGAGTATTATGATAAAACTTTGGTAAGTCCGTATTTATTTAAATAAAAACTGTTTAATTAAATATAAGATAATTAAGAAAGTCCTAAATATTACTAATAAACTTTTTTCATTCGATCAAACAAACTGGACGAGGAGACTTTGCAGAGCCTGGAATTGTTTGTTGACGAGTGTTTCGAAAGCTTAGTCATGGGTAAGCCTAAGGAAACATCCGGTGCTGCTAGCAATTCAGCTAACATCCCCAATGCTAAGCGGCATCGACAGGGCAGCTCAGACAGCGTTACGGCACCGTCTCCTGACGATTCAGGTTTAAAGGAGATATTGGAGTCAATTGACCAGAAGCTAACTAGCTTGGACGCCCGACTAGCATTAGTAGGAGATGCTACATAAAGAGTTTCAAGGCCTCAGGGAGTCTTTGGAATTCAGCCAACAACAGGTAGCATTACTTGCTAGTGAAAATCAGGAGCTGAGAGGAACGGTTAAACAACTCACCGAGGAGATGACGCTGCTATCCGGGGATAATAAAAAAATCAAAGAATCGATCCTGGATATCCAAGCCCGGAGCATGCGGGACAACCTCGTCTTCTCGGGAATACCGGAGCGAGCGGACGAGGTCCCTGAGGCCTCCGTCCGTGACTTCATTCAGAACCAGCTGAAGTTGCCGAGTGACGCGGTTAATTCCATCACTTTTCACCGGGTCCACCGCCTCGGAGGTAAGAAGCCTGGAAGCAATCGGCCGCGGCCGATTGTAGCTAAGTTTGAACATTACAAACAGAAAGAACAAATTAAAAGCCGAGGTAGAGAACTGCGTGACACGAACTTTAGCATGAACGACCAATTCCCTGCAGAGATTCTGAGTAGAAGGCGCGTTCTGTTCCCGATTAGAAAGAAAAATATAAACGAGGGCAGAAGAGCTGCGGTGGCTGTGGACAAACTTTACATCAATGGTCAGCTGTTTAGAGATCCAGAGGTTACTCCCTGGCTCTATTAGTAATATAAAAAAGGTAAGTATGATCTTCAGTTGCTAATTTTACTTAAAATGTATTAGCAAGCATATATATTCATATTACTTACCAGATATTTATGTAATTTTTCAGCACAGCTCGGTTGGTGGGTTACACAGATGGTGGTGGTACACGGTGGCATGGCACTTAATGTGGTAAGGGGGTTCTTTTTTTATTTTTTCTTCTTTTATCTTTATGTGTTTATTGTGTTTATTATCATCTCACTTTATTTTTTTTGTCTCTATTTTTCTGACTCAATAATTATTAGCACACAGGCACAAAGGCTTATATATATCCATATACATACATACAAATACCTCATAAAGGAATACATGCATGATTTACCTTCAAAAACAGCACTTAGTTTATCTATAAATCATAAATAATCAATCATTAAGGATTATGTTATTGTCTGGGTGTTTTACTATTTTTGATATTTGTGATAATGGGTGTGGTTTAATTATATTTTCACAAGCACAAATATGGGCATCTTAAGGTTTGTCACATGGAATATTAATGGAGCCGGTAGCCAACATAAAAAAAATAGAATCTTTAGCCAGATTAAAAGATTAAAGGCAGATGTTGTATTACTCCAAGAGATTCATAAATTACTGTCAACTGTGGATGAGCTAAAATCTCCTGAGTTTCCTCATGTATTCTCAGCCTGCTATAACTCAAGACAGAGAGGAGTAGCAATATTAATACATAAAAATGTGAACTTCACAATATTAGACACAGTTATAGACCCGCAAGGTAGATATATAATATTAAAATTATCCATACTCAGTCAAAAATATTGTATTGTTAGCTTATATGGGCCAAATGTGGACGATGCTGCTTTTTTTCATGATCTCTTTTCTACTCTATCAAATCACATGGATTGCTCGCTGGTACTGGGAGGTGATCTTAACTTTGGTCTAGATAACAAAATAGACAGGCTGAATGCAGTAGGAGCTCAACGCAGTTGGCAATCCATAAATGTAGTTAAACAGTACATGAGTGATTATGGACTCTGCGATGCATGGCGGTCTCTTCACCCTAATAGTAAAGAGTATTCTTTCTTTTCACATGTGCATCACTCTTACTCTCGTTTGGATTATTTTATAATCAGCAACTCATTGCTGACCAACATTTCAGACACTAAGATACACCCTATTGCTGTCAGTGATCATGCACCAGTTACTTTAAATTTAGATAATAAGAAAGAAATCCCAAAAAGTATAAACTGGAGATTAAATACCTCACTGCTTATGGATGAAGAATTTATACAATACTTTAAAAATGAATGGACATCGTATTTAGAGTTTAATGACTTGCCAGGTACATCAGCGTGTACACTCTGGGAGGCTGGGAAAACAGTTATGAGAGGGAAAATAATATCCTACGCAACAAACAAAAAGAAAAAAGAAAATAAACGTATTGAGGATTTAGAGAAATCTATCAAATTATTAGAAAGTTTACAAGGAGAGGAAACACAGACAAAACTACGCAAGATAAAATTAGAACTAAATGAATGTATTGACAAAAAAAACAAATTCTTAGTACAAAGACTTCGCTTGGAACATTTTGAACACAGTAATAAATCCGGTAGCTTTTTAGCTAATCAACTCAAATTAAATAAAGAAAAAACGTCTATATATGGTATTAAAGACACAAATGGTAACATAACTTATGACGAGGAAAAAGTAAATAGTGTTTTTAGAGATTTCTATAAAACTCTATATACTCCACAAATAAACCCAACAGATGAAGATATTAATCAATTCTTGGAGAGAGTAATACTTCCAAAACTAGACAGTAGTCAATCTTCAGAACTAGACTCACCATTAACATCAGATGAGCTCCGTGAAGCCATTAAAAACATGCCTAATAAGAAATCTCCAGGCCCAGATGGATATCCAGCAGAATTTTATAAAGAGTTCTGGAACATCCTGGAACCAATATTTCACAGAATGCTACATGAGTCAGAAGAAAATGGCAGGTTTCCAACACATATGAACTCAGCCAACATTAGTCTACTATTAAAACCAGGCAAAGACCCAGTACTACCTACCAGTTATCGCCCCATCTCTCTTATTAATGTAGATGTTAAAATAATTAGTAAAGTCCTCTCTAAAAGATTAGAGAAAATAATTCCTCTCATTATTCATCCTGACCAAACTGGATTCATAAAAGGAAGACACTCGACCACAAATACACGCAGATTATATAATTTAATAGAGTATTCATATAGTAAAAATATTGAAACGGCTATT